AAGATGTTGAATTCACTTCCTGTGTTCAAACCATAACCATCCTTGATTAACAAACTGAGCTCAAGTGCTCATATTTCCATGAATATTTCCATATTTCCATGAAGGGCAATCAAAGCAAAGTTGACATACATCAGCAGCCACTGACAGGCTGATATAAATCACCCACCTAAAACAGCATGGGAAAGCTGTGAAAGAAGAAGGGATAAAACCAAAGCATCAAAACAGCTTCTAATATCCTCCTCCTTTTTCTTCCCTTAACACCACAGCTTTCTGAGTAATCTTTCAATCAGCCACTTAGTGACCCCTCTACATGAATTCAAGACTTCCCAAGCCCACACCCTCTACCCTTCTATCTTTCTCTTTCTGTTATCAGCCATTCCTTAAGTACGACCCTTAAAACTTTTCTTAAACACATCTCTTGTTTTTCTTCCACATCACTCAGGTTTAGATTTCAAACTTCCTCACAGCAATGATATTTAGCAAAAGCAAGATGCAATACGAGCAAGACAAACGCTTGTTTGGCAAAGCAGAAACTTATAACAGGAAGAACTAAGTCAACCTTGCCAGCAATGCCACTACCAAACTCAATGCTCCTCTCAGAAGGAAAAAAAATGCCAGGTTCCCTTTTCCTGCCAAATTTAATGATGATGATGAGAGATGGGAGCATAGAAGAAAAGAGAGGCAGGAACAACGCTACATTAGGTCTTCCCTGTTTTCTAGACAGATCTAGAATATCTTTTGATTCACTTTATTTAGAGAAATCTGGGAACTTCAGAAAATTTACCCCAGTTCTTGCTGCCCCTCAAAGAGCCAAATGTTTGAAAAGAAGAGTGAGCGATGGGTGTCCACAGCCAACACCCTTTCTAACCTAGAAAGCAATGAGAGAGCAGGCACAATATGCTGACACTGAGCACATGGGAGCTCTCCCAGGGTAGGGGACGCTTGAGATGGCTAAGTCAACCTGGGTCCCAATCACTCTGGTGAGCTCCCACATATAAAGCAGTCAGCAAGACATACTCCAACCCCATCAGTCTTCTCTTGTTGCTGTTGCTACATGAAAAATATGAGTACTGTCCTGACTATGCTTGGAAAGGACCCAAACGTTAGGTAACTTTTTAAAAATATATTTGTTAAAAATCAAAAAGGCAGCAGCAGTAGGAGTCCAGTCATTCCACAGGTACAAGAAAATCCAGTGGCACAGGGAGTTTCCACAGACAAAGGGTTTCCCACAGCCTATTGTTGGAAACACTGTGATTCAATTGCTCATTTCTTACTCAGCGGGCTGCTGATTCAACCAGAGGAGGATGCTGATATGTTTCACCTTCTGTATTCTACTGACTGCAGTACAAACCAATAAAAATTCAGCTTTCAAGAACATGTAGCCCTATCCTCATGCTAGTTATTTGTCATTTACATGACATACTTCTTTTGTGCAGTACCTGCTTGACTGTCATTTAAACATATGCATAATGAAATGATAAATCTGGAATTTTAACTGGTGCTGTCTCCTTACCTTTCTAACTTCCAGTTGCACGTGGACTATAAGCAGGTGATTAGAAGGTAAAACAGAATATAACCCACTTTCAGATTCACAGCCGCCTGAAGAAACTACAGATGTGATAAGATGACAGCAGACAAACTCACAGAGTAGTTAGATAATAAAGCACGTTTTCCAGTTTGAGACAAATATTGTCAAGACAGGATACAAAAAGCAGTCAGCTTATGAAACCCAATGACCTGCTGCAGCTTCCTGCAGAATGCCCTCAGGCAAGGAGTTCAGATGGCACCAGGGAGCAAGCCAGCAGAGGCTATTTTAAACCCAACCCTTTCTACAGCTGCCTCCAGGTGTTGCCCTAATTCAGCAACAGTATCTTTGTTTCCCAAAAGTAAATTTGAAATTGGTTTCTGACAGCTAACAGGAAATACACTGTGCAGTTCTGAAGGCACTGCATACAGCTATCCTCCAGCACAAAGCAGGGGCTGTTACTATTTAGAGAACAATTCATATATTTGTTCTGCTTCATACATATTGTTCTACGTTATACACATTTATTTCTCTTTACACTCAAAGGTGTGCTCAGCATACTGGCAGTGGAAAGTACAGAAAATTCCCAGTGAAGTAGGGCCCAGAGATAGGAGAAGTGTAGCTAGAGGCTAAGATCAAACTTCACTGGCTTTATAATCCATACAGACCCTTACATGTGCTAAATGTCTTGGAGCTGCACATTTAAAGTCTTAGGAATGAACAAACAGGACAGGAGCTTGTTTTAGCAAGCAAGGATCTCTGACACAATATAAATGAGCTAAATGAGGGAGGAAAAAAAAAAAAAAAAAAGAAATAAAAGAAAATCAACCTTCCAGGATTTTTATTTATTTATTTTTCACAAGAGTGCAGGTTGATGCATGACATAAAAGTCATGCATGTATCACTGACCTACCAAGGCCCATGTTACTGCTGCTTCAGCAAGCAGTTAAGTCCATGGATAACTTGAAGACTGTGAGTAAATGCACACCAAGTAAGCAGGGTTTGAGCACTTTGCTAGTGAGGGCACAGGCCTTTATACTCTCCCTCTTTATACTCCTAACACGAGATTACTGAAAATTCTTATTATAGCGTTTCAACAACAAGACATCAATTAGTTAACAGTTTACAATTAAAATATAAACCTACCATGTTTCAGTTATATACCATTAATCTCTAATGATGTGAGGACTATGTTTTATTAGGAAAGCTTTAAAAACCATTAATACTTCCAATAAAAAGGAACAATTCTTAACTGTCCCAATCCTAAGAAGTATAGGCTAGGAAGATTGCAGCTATGGTGACGTATGTTGAAATACATATTTAAAGGCTACATGAGGAACAGTGTGTATGCTGTCCAACACTTGCTGATGTAGACACATTTTCCATCTCCTTTTGAACATGTAACATTTGATTATTTGAATGGCTATTTTTCAGCCAACATCTGATTCAGGATGCTTAAAACTTAAAGGAAAACCTTCCTACAAAACAAAAAAGTCAGCCATTTCTCAGAACAGAACTAGCACAAGGCTGCATAGCTTTGCTCTCCTCCTTTTGTTTTAAAAAGAGCAAGAAAATTAACAAACAAACAACATGACATGCTCCAATGCCTTAATGCTTTGAAGCACAGATTTCTTGAAGGGAAATTAGGGACATGCTTCTGCTTCCTCCAGAGAAGTCCCTTGAGAATTGACACCTGAGTGTCTATTAGCGGATATAAAAATGGGTTACTTTGAAAGATGAGTTCTCCAAGCACTGGGATAGGATAGGGTAGGGTAATATAGGGTAGGAGTAGAGTAAAGCAGTTCAGTTGGAAGGGTCATTCAGAACTTCTCCAACACAACAACGTGACCACTTCAGGGCTAACCAAAATTGAAAGCACACGACTGTAGGCAGTATCCCAACGCCTCCTGAACACTGACAGCCACCTTGCTAGGAAGCCCATTCAGGTGTCTGACTGTACACACAGCACAAAAACTTTTCCTAATGTCCAGTTTAAACTTCCCCTCATGAATCACAGATTCATTAAGGTTGGAAAAGACCATTAACATCACCTAGTACAACCATCAGCCCATCATTACCATGCCACTTAAACCATGTCCCTCAGTGCTACGTCTACACGGTTGTTGAACACCCCCAGGGACTTCCCTGGCAGCACGTTCCAATGCCTCACCACTCCTTCTGAGAAGAAACATTCAACATGAACATCCTCTGGTGCAACTTGAGGCCTTTCTTGCTTGTCTCACCACTGTTATCTGGGAGAAGAGGCCGTGCCCCACCTCACCACAGCCTCTTTCATGGAGTTGTAGAGAGCAATAAGGTCTTCCCTGAGCCTCCTCTTCTATGACTGAACAATCCCAGTTCCCTCAACCGCTCCCCATGAGATGGTGCTCCAGATCCCTCATAGTTTTGCTGCCCTTCTCTGGACACACTGCAAGGCTTTCATATCTGTTTCGCAGTGAGTGCTGAACACAGCATTCAAGGTGCACCTCACCAGCACAGAGTACACGAGGACAATCACCTTCCTGCTCCTGCAGGTCACACTATTGCTGATACAAGCCAGGGTGCTGTTGGCCACCTGGGCACACTGCTGGCCCACGTGCAGCCAGCTGTCAAATCCTTTCCAGCCACTCTGCCACAAGACCGTAGCGTTGCCTGGGGTTGTAGTGACCGAAGTGCAGGACCTGGCATTAGAACTTGCTGAACTTCATCCAGTTGGCCTCAGCCCATAGATCCAGCCTCTGCAGGTCCCTCCGTGGGCCCTTCCTGCCCTCAGGCAGCAGGCAGAAGTGAAACGCGCTCTCTGGATGCGTGGATCTGCCTCTGTACCTGCGCTGCCGTGGCCATGGCGCCCCCTTGCGGCTGCGGCGAGCGGAGGCGGCGGGCCCGGGTCTCTGGGCCGCGGCATCCGCAGATGAGCGCAGCTCGCTGGAGAGCAGCTTGCGCAAGCACCGCTGGGTTCGTAGCGCCTCTTGTGCAACTGCCGTGCACTGAGCTGGAAACCACTGAAAACACTGACATGCTCTTGCAAAAATGAGGGTTCAGGCAGCAAACTGGGAGAACAATTCACAAACTCACCCTTACTAAGCATCAGCAAACCCACGTGGGCCGAAAGACAGTGGAAATCGGGCATCATCAGTCCCTCTGCTGCCACAGCCACTTAGTAGTCCCTGAAATGGGCCGCCTTCCTCACTGTGCCACCTCCATCTTCCTCACAGCACAGAGCTGCCACCTCTGGAGCCCATGGCAGCACACACAGTGTTGCTCCCCCTGTGCTGTCCCTGCTGCAGGAGTTGTGTGGAAAGCAGCAGCACGCAGATGTGTCATTAGGGGTGAACAGCTGGACTGCTGACCTCAGTATTTTATATTGTTCAAGGGCCTATTTTTCCAGCTATAGCACTTTGATGCAGCATTTGTAACAGGACAATACTTAAATAAGGATATAGCTTAGTAACCTTTACAGAAGTTGATGGTTTACCTGATCTACCGTCTCTTCAAATGCTCTCATGTAATGATTAAGCTCTCTGTCCAATGCAGCATACTCTAACATGACATTTTCCATGCTTTTAACATCCTCTTCATCATCTGCAAAACAAAGCATGTTGCACATGGATGATCGGCTGTATACATTTCAGGAGGCATTTTTTTCTTTACAGATGGTGCAGTTAATGCCACAAGGCACAGCAGGTGTTTCCAAGCTCCTCCAACACATACTTCTTTCCTATTTTGCAACCGTAAACCTTGACATTTCTTGGGTAACTTGAACAAACAGCTTACTCAGAAGGACACTTCCCTGGTTTCATGTGAACCAGAGAGAGTGTGTGTAATTTCAGCTACCAACACCTAGTCATTAGGCAATCAGGATATTTTCTGCAAAAGTTGTATTTCATGACTCATCACATTGCTTCAGAAAAATTCACAAGAAACTTAAATGCCCTTTCAGTGTGGTATAGTCCACAGCTATAGCTAGACCCCATTGTCCCCAGTAAACATAGCTAATGTGAAATCAAAATTGAGACAGCATTTTATAAGCCAAGCCATAAGGGAAAACTGAGTAATACTGGTGAATCAGACAGTAACATTTTAATTGCCAGGGAAAAATCAATGAACACACAACACGTGCTTAGCAATTCACATCCACTTCTATTCTCTACTTTATTGTTCCTATTGTCACTCCTTTCATTTCTAACTACACCTCTGCTTTCTCATTCTGACACTGCTATGCATTTCCTCAGCTGGACAAGGACTCACTGCAGGTGCCATGGGCACAGCACTACCTTCTGACACAGGTGCTGCCAGCAGTGGAGGACACACAGCCACAAGCCCCCAACCTGTTCAGGAAATTAACTACATTTCTGCCTTCAGGAATTAGGATATATAAATTTCTGCTTCTCCTGCTCCCATTTATTTCTATCTGCACTTTCCAGGTATAAAGAAAACCATGAGATGCAGCTGGAAGCCGTGAAAGTGCCCACAGTCCTCATGCAGCATTAGGAACAGCCACGTAATGGAGAATTCTTTTTTACAAGCAGCTTAAGTAGCCAATCTGCACTGTTATTTTTAGGAAGAAAATCACAGTATAGCTCTTTAAATTTTGTGCATATGTGTGCAAATAAAGGAAGACCGTTTCCTATTTGGCAAGCTAGTACATTTCTCAAGTTGCTAACTGTATTTGCATGTCAGAGCACAAAAATCTCTTGGTGCACAAAGCTAAGACAAAGCACTGTCCATGGCCATCCCAGCTTAGCAGCAACACTCAGGGCTAGGAACTGCACACTGTATGAAACAGTGATGGATCCCAGAGATGGCAGGAAGGGTTTTAAGATATATTTACCCCAAAAAGTTATATAATAAGCCGTACTATTTTGTGAACATGGTAATTACAGTTATGATATTTCCCTTAATTATACATAAACTTGGTACATATCCATTTTCCATTAAGTAGGTAAATGGATAACACAGACAGAATTCTGGCATCCATGCAACATTTCCTTCTCCCCTCTCCCTTCCCTCCCACTCAACTTCCATATCCTATCTGGTAACTGTGTTCAGGCTCTTTTTCCTTCCTGCTAGGATGCATATGAAGTGTCTCCTTCAAGGCTGACATAAATGGCACTCCATGAATCACAGGAAAGGTTTGTGCAGCAAGTAACTGTCATTCTCCTCCCATGGCCAAAATGAATCATATCCATGACATAAAGAAACTACAGTGGCCTAAATCATTTTCTTAGGGGAAGAAAAGTGCATTGTTAAACACCAAGAGTATAATAAAGCCGTCTCTCCTAACTTCAAATTGTTTTAGACAAAGAATAATAACACTTCAACTGATCTTACTGCACTTGAGAAATGCATTAAAATAAGGCACAAAGAGATGAAACACAGCTCAGGCAAGAGGGACGTTATCTGCAAAGACATTCTGCCCTATGTTCTTTACATCCTGACTGTTCTGCCCATCTGCCAGCCTGCTTTAATTCTTAGTGATGTTCACAGTCATCTCTCTGCTCTTAATCTTTCATGCACATGAAGGTACATATGTTATATATATCGTGAAAACTCTGAATGTTTCTGTCAGTAACACACGCTGACAGCTTGCCCTTGAAGGTACTACATATGGACAGATGAGTCTGATGGACTGTATGTACATCAGTGATGTCCATCCCCTACTTCTGATCTTTGACAGATACTGGAGAATGTCTTCTATCTGCAGATCAAGCCATAGCTCTAGTTACTGAGAGCTGAGAGGAAGTCTCCCACCTTGTTGCCAGCTACTCATCTGCCCAGTTCCCAAAGGAGATCTAAAAGAAAACTTACATTACAGGTTGTTCTATTTGACTTTAGAAAACAGTTGCAACCCTATATTGGACACCGCAATTACCCTATGCACCCAGCTCCTCTGCTCCTAGCTCACTCCCCTGGTGAGCTAAGATCTCTTCGGCGCCCTGGTAAGAAGCTAATGCAGAACAGACCTTAGGTATATCTGATGAGAAGCTGTGGGTTTCTCTATGAGGATGCAAGGTTTTACAGTTCACCATGGCAGGAATCCCAGCACGTTCAATGTTTCTTTATGACAGATACTGCCACAGATCAGTCAGAACACCACAGACTTGGTCTTAACAGGAAATGAAAAATTAGGAAAGATCTCACTATCTATCCTGATTACCACCCCCACAACTCATGTCCTGAATTCCACCAATCCGTTAGTGCAACAGCACTATAAGAAGAATCAAACTTTAGTGTTGATATTAGGTTCTGAAAGATTCAGATGGCATTGCCCACTGCTCACTCTGCAAGCCTCCCTGCTACTTTTGTTTCAGTTGTCAGGAGGGCAATGGAGATTCCTGGCAGAGACTCAAGGCACGTTCCTTCTTCCATCAGACAGGGACAGCGTTATCTGCTGAGCACCCTCCAGCCAGACTCCAGCTGCAAAGCCAGCTAGCTCTCCAAAGCACTCAGACCTTTCACTCCACAAACCAGCCCAGCTCAACATCAAAATCAAATGCTCTGCAAGTGCTGGAACAGCGCCACTGTGTTATCTAATCAAACTTTATTCTAATCTTGTTTCTAATTTATATCTAAGGAATGCATTCTAAACTCTCTGCATATACTTATAGCTACTGCCACAACATACCATCAAAGTTGCATACTGTAGTTAAATCTCCTTGCTATCTAGGCTAAACATGTTGAGTTCAGTAAGCATTTCTCTACAAGTGCTTACCCTCACCGCCCAGAGATTACACATTTTGCAATATTACATCTTTTACTCACAGAAAGCCCAGTTCAAAGCTGTAATTTTTATTTTTCAAAGGCCCATATGCATCACGTTAAAATTAGCTGGCTGAATATCCACATCTCATAATTATGAATTTAAGTGCATGTGACTTCATGAACTCTTTTTATAATGAAAAGAGGGCTATTAAGCTGAAAAGTCCCTGCAAATTGGGTAACAAAATGTAAAGACCAGCAAGGGTTCCATTTCTCTTTCCTAGTAAGAGATCAAACTGGTCATGCTCAGGTGCCTCACTGCTGATTCAAACTGTAATCAATCAGGGCAGAGTTACACACCATGAACTCAAGGTGCTAAAACAGAAGTTACAATAACAGGGTAGTCAAGTCAGGACTATTTTTATGCTTCCTGTATTAACACTTGCCTAAAATGACAATCATTTCGCCCCAAACTTACACCTGAATTCATATTTATTGTTCATTTTATTTCCAGGTATACATCCACAATTTAGCAAAATTGCTGAAGATTTTTCACAGCTATCTTTTTTTGTGCAAATGTTACTAACAACATAATTATTTGCTGGTTTATGGTACAACAGCTGTCCTACAGCCAACGCATACCAATTCAAGTAATCATTCTTTTCCAAGCAGACTATACAAAATGCAAAACAGCCCAGAATACCGTGAAATTATAGGAAGGCTCCAAGCCTCAAAATATAACAGTACTTCAAATGAATAGCTAAGGACAGATAGAATGAATTAATGGAAGAATCAACATTCGTCTCTTTATACTATCGGCTAACAAAAACCCAAGCTGTCAATTTTAAACAAAACAGGTGGAACAGAATTGCCAGGTCACAGCCTGAATCAATGGCTGAGCACCAGGTGAAAAGCTGTGGCTGAGCCAGGCAGTGCAGGTGCAAAGAAAGCACCTGAGTAACTGGGAGGGTTGGTGCCTGGATCCAAATCTCCTCACCTTCATTTAAGGGTTAGCAGATGAGGGAGCAGCAACTCTCTGGATAGAGATCACGTTCCTCTTGATCTATCACTGGAAGGGGTTTTCCTTCTTTGTGACTTGCTATTGCTCCATAGTGCCTGTATCCCATTAGAAGGCACCATCATTGCCTTTTTTTGCCATACAGAATTCACAGTGTCTTGGTATCTCCTGCACTTCATATTAGGCTCTTTTTAATTTTAAGGCTACACGCTGTTTTTACCATCAGGCTCTGCCACTGTACAAGGCAAAGGAAGAATGGTAAACTATTGCCTGTAGATTTCAGACTTTTAAAATATATGTAATGCAAACATCTGTCACTTGAGCCAACAGCAATAGCAGTAGTACACAGCTGTCTTCATGTGCACCAGAAGCAAGAAAAAACAAATGTTTTGCCAGTAGGCTTCTGGTAACTGCTGACAGCAGAGGAATACAGGCTCTAGGGCTTCGTGATTTAGTTCCATCTTCTGGAGGAGAATGTGCATGCTCAATTCAGGATACAGCTAAGCATTTTTGTTGTTGTTTTAGCAACTACTTCATTTTCAAAACAGAAAAGTGCAAAGACACTCCCTGCCTCCGCTCCCCTCACTCTTATATCTAGTTGGTTCAAAACTGTTGGTAACTCAATTTGGATAATATATCTGGAAAGAAAGAAATCAACCAACCTACAGTTTGTGAATCTTTCTAAACAGATGCACAAAATGCTTGGAGAAGACAGTAAACAGATGTGCCTCCACTTTCTAGATCCTATGCAGGAGACCACAGTCACAGTTCTCTCCTCCTTCTGTACATTCTCAAATCCTGCCTTGGTATTCCAGACCACACAGACCAACAGGAACTTAAACAAGAGGCCGTTTCTACAGCACTG